GTTTTCTAAATTTGCGCATTAAAATATAACCTAAATATAATTCTGGTTTACTGGCATTGCAGTGATTATGTTTGTACAATGACTCCACATTTGTGTTTTATTTGTTAGTAACAAATAGCACATTGAGAAATATGTGGGGGGTGTTTTTGGTAAGATTGTTGTAATTAACATTTTCTCAAATACTAGCCCCACAATATTTTCTACAAATTTCTGACTAAGTTAAAATGCTGCTGGGAGGAAACTAATCGGGGAGGAAAAAAATACTTCGATATGATTTTGTGCAAATGTTCTATGAACAATTGGTATTTTCTTCCAATTTCTTTCAACTGGGTTTTAGTTAGTTTGTTGGGATTTTGCTTTTTGTAATTTCTAAAGTCAGAAATGTAGCTTAGAAGCCAGCTATGTGTTTTGAGGAGCTTTAGAATTGGCCTACTCTTATAAACATGGCAAATTCAAAGACTAGTTGGGTCAATTGGCCACCATAACTGGTTATACTACATTGGTAATTTCAATGTTGCAGAGGAGTAACAACCTTGTTTAGTGACTGTTTGCAGTTACAAAGGTAATGAAAATGTAGCTTTATGACAAGTTCTCACACTTATGACCGTTGCAGCTCTGTAAAGCAAAGGAAATCTAAAATAAGATCATAAGCACAATTGCAGTTTTACTTAGTGGCCACTTCACTTAAGGCCAAGTTATCAGGTGCAATTGTGGTTGCTATAAGAGGACTATCTATGTGTCAATTGCATACACTTTGATGTATTTATCCAAAGTGTGTGTGGGAGAGCATGGAGACAGGGAGGAAATATCATCTGTAGCATAGAATATTTTATTTATTTGTCTAGTACAGGGTTGTCAAATTAAGGGCTTGCAAGCTAGATCCAGGCCATGGGATGCTTAAATCTGACCTGCAGGGTCAACCTGGAAATAGCAAAGGACTGTCCCGTGATTCTCTGTTAGCAAAAATGGGCCATGTCCCCCCCCCCCTGCACTCTGTTTTGGTTGGCAGGGTGCTGTAGGAAGCCATCAAGGCTGAAAAAGAGGTGCAGGGCGGCCGTATGTGTTTTGGGCAGTAGGGTGCTGCAGGAGGTGTCCGTCCCACTGCTACCTGACCAGCCCGCAGAGAACTACAATGTTGATCCGGCTCTCAAAGAAATCCACACTCCTGGTCTAGTAAAATTAAGGATGTTGTTTATTAAAAGGTATATTATACAATGCATGTAATTTGTTGAGCAGGAATTGGGTGTATTCTACCAGTTCGGACCAGTTTGGACAAACCGTTTGTTACGATTCTATGCAGTTCAGAGAACTGGCAAATCGTGCCGCTGGCTGGCCCCTCCCCTCCCTGCCCGCTCCTCCACTCCCAGTCACTCCTTATCTCACCCATGTGCCATCGCTGCCTGCAGCCTGTCTTCGGCTGGCCGCCAGCCAGCCATTGCTGCCTGTCTTCCGCCATGGCCCTGCCTGATCTGATCTCCTTGGGTGAGTGAAGCTCTGCAAGCCCTGGCTGCCTACCAGCTGCTGCGAGAAAGAATTGAGAAATCAAATGAGATTTTTTTTTTCCTGGATCAGTTTAGCCTTTTCCAGAGCCTTTCCCTCAAAATGTGACAGTGATCAACATTCCTTCTTATATTATTTATGCTGAATTTAGAGTAATAACCTGAATAGTCCAGCAAAAACAAGTATTTCTTGTCTTCCGTTATAATTACTCATTGCTTTAGTCTATTTTTCTTTGAAGTCTCAGGCAAGTGAGTAGCACCTAAAGGTTCCCTTGTCAAATATCTTGTAAGTGATTGACAAATCAAATCAAATCAATCAATCAATAAAATATATGTGAAATTTGTTCTTTGGGGAAAATCAGTTTCCATTCAAAGTGATCCAGCTGTTTTTATCTGCCACTGTCAGCACATCTGTTTCTTTTTGCTGTTAGGGAGAACAGCATTCTTCTTCTCTGTTGTTGCAGTTTACTTTCTCTTTCCCTAGAGCAGCTGACCCTTGTGAACCTTGAAATGTACTTTGGAGAATAGTCTGGGAAATCCATTGTAAATCAACCACATTTGCTATTCTGCCACCTGAATGCTTGTTTCACTGAAATGATCAGCTGGCCTGGCACTTTTCTGCAACAAAGAATAAAGCGCAGCTAGAAGGAAACTGCCTCTTGCCAAGACATTCTCTTCAGAAAAGAAATTGTGCCAGCTTGGAAGGTTTTAGGTCATGCTTGTTTTGTACTGTTTTGTATTGTTTTGTCCAATGAATCTAGAATATAGCAACTTGGAGTACTCTCTGTACAGTTGTTTTAAAGAAGATATAGGTGGAGGAAAAGGAGTATGTGGAAAAATATATGCATTCAATGGTGTGGATAGTTAGGTTTGGGGAAATAGAATTGTCTCTTTTACTGCTTTTCAAAGTTCTATTTATTTTAGTTAATAATTTATATTCTTAGTGTCATAGTGTTTAATCATTCAGTCTACTGTTTATGTTAAATAAAAAGGATTATTACTAGGGAAACATAGAATCATTTGCTTGCTCCATCATGAAATTTGCTTATAACTTTACATAAATCGTTGCCTTTCGTATAATTACAAGGCTATTTTAGAAAAAAGACAATAACAATAGGCAGGAATTACAGAATAACAGAGTTGGAAGGTCTTCTAGTCCAACCGCTACTCAAGCAGGAAATCCTATACCACTTCAGACAAATGGTTGTCCAATCTCTTCTTAAAAACCTCCAGTGTTGGAGCATTCACAACTTCTGGAGGCAAGCTGCTTCGCTGATTAATTGTAATAACTGGGAGGAAATTTCTCCTTAGTCCTAGGTTGCTTCTCTCCTTGATTAGTTTCCATCCATTGTTTCTCATCCTGCTTTTGGGTCCTTTGGAGAATAGATTGAGCCTGTCTTCTCTGTGGTGGCCCGCTTAGATATTGGAACATTATCATGTCATCCCTAGTCCTTTTCGTTAAAGTGGACATATCAATTCCAGCAACCATTCTTTATAGGTTTTAGCCTCCAGTCCCCTAATCACCTTTGTTGCTCTTCCCTGCACTCTTTTTAGAGTGTCAGCAGCTTTTTTATATCATGGCAATCAAAACTGGATATAATATTCTAAGTGTGGTGTTACCAAGGCATTACAAAGTGCTATTAATACTTCAATACATAATAGTGTTTGACTGGCAAGAATAGACAAACTCTGTAACTTGGAGTCCTCCAGAAATTTGTATCATCAACAGTTGGCATAGCCAGTGTTGACTGCAGATAATGAAATTTTGTAGTTTCAGATTGGGACCCAGGCTGATTAGGGTGAAAGGATCGACATTTTGCTAAATCCTAATTTTGGGGGGGGGCATGGGTTTATCTTTATTTGCTTTGTTTGTTTTATTTATTGTTATATTTATTTGCTTTATTCTGCACACATATATATTTATCATTCTATTTATCCTGATTTGTTTTTCCCTCATCTATGCCTACATCTTCAAACCTTATATTATGAGAGTTCCCATTCTGGTGCCTTCCAAATATGCTGAATTTCAGCTCCCAAGAGAATATTGCCTATAAATTGTGCAATTCAATTTTTATACCAGCGTTATTTTACACGCTGCCCTATTGTTCTCAGTGAGCTGTACAGTGCTCACAGCTTTAGGCAATCCAGCTTACCACAGAAGCAAAGCCCACTGAGTATAATGCAACACATCCATTAGAAGAGAAAACTTTGTTAAGATGAAGTAGACATCCTTATGAATGGTGGATCACGCTATACCAGGCTGGCCACAAAGTGATGGTCCTAGTATAAACTGTCCCATACTAGTGGAAAGGAGCAGTTTCTGGTCAGCTGCCAATAAGGTTTTGAGACTGGATGCACCATATGAAAAACACTCTTCCTTGAATTGAGCAGAGGGAAAACTTTTTTTCTAGTCTTTTCTGAGCCCAGCATAAGCTGTCCCAAGTAAAAAGATTTATGTGTACAATTTGCTTCAAAGTTGATTGGGAACAAGAAATATACAGGTAGTCCTCAACTTACAATTGGTGGCTTAGAACCATTTGAAGTTTCAGTTGACCTACCTGGGGATGCTTACGATTCAGATTTGAAGTTCTGATGATCAGAGATTCTCCCCATGATCATATGTTGAATGCATGGCAATGCAACCATATTCATGACCATTTGCAGAATGCCACGTTTTACTATAATTTTACCATAAACTGGCATTTACTTCTGGTTTTCGGCAAAACCATACCCATAGCATACCATTGGTTTGCTTAGCAACCTTCACTTAGTGGCCTTCATTTAATGACTGTCCCAAAGAGGTCATAAAATTAATTTGGTCACATGATCAAACCCATTTTACAATCATTATTAGTTATAACCATGATTGGCAGACTCTACTCTGGTTGTACCCCAAGAACTTGTAACCTGTAATTTATATATTTTTTATATTTTTTCCATTACCAGGAGGAGGAGCAACAGAGTTGCATCTCCTACCTCTTTCATATTTGCTTTTTCCAATGCTGGTAAGAATCCTTTAAGGCTAATCCAAAACTAAGAAAAAAGACTTGATACGCAGACATATAAAATGAGGGATTGTAATCCTCACTATACAAAGAGAAAGAATAAGGATAAGTAAACATTATGATTAATAGACTTGGAGGATAATGGTTACAAATATGGCATTTATAAGATTTGATATTATTAACTAATTATATATAAAACTGACTGTTTAATTAAATAACAGAAAATGTTTAGCAAGAATGAGTGAGATCATGGTGAATAGACGGAGAATAATGGTTACGACTATTGTGTGTATAAGGTTTATTATCTGTATTTAAAAGAGATTGTAGCCAGACATTACGCTGCCATTGTGGATATGGAAATTTTATATTTAACAATATAAATTGCATACTAATAAAAAAATAATAATAAAGAATTGTTTTTAAAAACCTTGGATTACATAAAAGCATTTAGCATTGGGCACAATAAATAAGCTAATTTATTTCATATCTCTTTTAGCTCTGGAACAACTGCTGACAGAACTGGAAGATTTTCTGAAGATACTAGATAAAGAGAACCTCAGCAGCACAGCCATAGTCAAAAAAGGCTTTCTGGCTGACCTCCTTCGACTGTGCACCAAGTCAAGTGGTAAGCAAAATCACGTGAACAATTATTGACTTTGGAAGGTTTACCTTTCTTGCGGATACCCCAATCTATCTATTTCTCATTTTTGTTTGAATCCTATTCCCAAATGAGATGTAAAAGGGAAACAAGTATCCTTTATCATCATGAAAAAAATGTATTGGTCTATATGTGTCTGGAATCTGTTTAATTAGGTGCAAACCTTGTTATCAAAATTTGTCTACAAAGACTACACTATTTACAGATGGTGGGGGATTAAAAATGGATAAAAAGATAATGAAATTTTTGTTCAGTTGTGTTTCTCCTAATTTGCTTTATAAATTAAAGACATTCAAGATGACAGCAAAGTCCATAAAATTTATTTCCTTCCTTTTATTGTAAACATCATAAATTATTTTTATTCACCAAAGTTTGCTAATAAGATTAATTTGCAAGGAATTAATCAACTTATCATTTGCCCTTTACAAGGTTCTCGTTTCTCTGTTTTGCTCAAGATAAATTATTCAGGAACAAAGCCCAGTAAAGTGCTTCTGAAGAGAACACAGCATCTAAGGGAAGGGAAGAGCAAAGTTTTTCTATAACTTGTTTAAAATATCTGCCCTAGAGTAAAGCACATAAATTAGCTTATCACAACTGCAAGTGCAAAAACCATGCTGGATAATGACAATGGCTATGATGGTCCCACACATCATTGGGGATACTGATGTACATGTACATACAAAATGCAAAGCAGTACTTTATAGTATTTTTACACTGCAGGTGGTGATGAAGAGTACATTTATATGAACAGAGTGACCATAAGTAAACTACATGGGGAACCAGACAAAGCCAACAAAGGTAGGTATCAAATGCTACTATCATTCAAATGTATCTATAGGGCACCAAGCTTGAAAATAAACTATTCTAGAAATACAAGTATTACCACTCATGTTGGGAGATGGTGGAGATATACTGTGTTGAAGTCATCAGATTTGTGCTCTTTGATATATTTTCTATCTTATTTGGCTTAATACATTGGGCTAATGGATAGTATGAATTGTTGAAAACATATTATGCTCCTCTACCCGGCGTCTCTGAATAGCACTTTTCAATTGTACATACCAAAGCACAGGGAAATGCCACATCTGTAGTATGTTTTATTCTGTGGCATTAGGATAGATAATAACTGCTTGTGGCCTCTAGGTGAAGGGATATTTTGCCTTGAGAAGCTTTTTGTATACACAGATTCTCTTTTTGTGAATATTAAAAAGCTCCATACCGTACATAGATATTAAATAGCATGAGTACTAAAAGCTCCCTATGTAGGATGATTCCTTAAATTAGTACCTATATCCATCTCTAACAAAGAGTTGGTTTGATAAGCTCTTACTACTTAATCTGTTTTGGTTTCTACAGCTGCCTTGCTTGGGTTGAGCCTATAACTGATTCTATTTTGGGATTTATAGATGGAAAAATGTATCCCCTGGTATTTGTCTCTAAGTTGTATAGAAACAGAAAATCTGAGAAGACGTGGGAAGAACAGCAGATGTATGATTTGTTTGGCTAATAACATTATTATACTATGCAGTTTGTTTTGCTGCTTCCCTTCTTATGCCAGAAAACTATTAAAAGTTTCAGATGCAGAGCTGTTATTGTGGCTCCTCAGGCTCAGTCCCAAAAGAACTGTGGTTCTAGCTTTATTTTTAAATTGTACAAGAATGTAACAAAGTTCATGCCAGATTCTTTCCAGTGTCTTGGTAACCACTGCTTACCATTTGGGTAGCTATCAGACCATCCAACTTTAGAATACTCTTGTTTTCAGTGAAAGTTTTGCTTAGTATATTTATAGGGATGCCTGAAGTGATTTCAAATATAACCTCTTTGTACATAAAGATACTTGCCAAGTATCAAAATCATGTTCCTCTCTCTTATGTCACCATACCTGAAAATGACAGATCATGGACTTTGTAGTTTTAATGTTAACTGAAGAATTACTACACCAGGAATTCTGCAACCACCAAAAGTGTATGTCTTGAGCTATATTATTTTTTCACCATATTTTGGGAGTGAAATCAATTGCCATTTTGGTGGTCTAGACTAAGTAGGCTAATTAATCATATTTTTCTTTCAAAACAAAAGTGGAATATCTGAGATTATAGCGGAATATAATTTTTTGTAATTACCATTTATTTGTTGTGATTTCTCTTTGCATTATGATATTAGGTTACCAAGATTCCTTGACTAATGGAGAAATGGAGCAGTATTTGTATCCTCCACAGAAAAGTTTGCCAGATCTTCCACCTTCAAAAATAGTAAGTCCTTGATATATTATATAAAAATATCGTACGGATACATTCTGTGTTATAATTTGAAGATCTTCTAACCTGCAAGATATATAAATCCATAGAAGTTTGTAAAGTACCCACAAATAATACAAGAAAAAAATAATACAAGAAAAAAGAGAAAACTATGTGGGGATATTATTTATTTTTGCTTGAACTGAATTTTCATCTTTATTCTAAATCAGGGGTCTTCCAACTTGACAGCTTTAAGACTTGTGGACTTCAACTCCCAGAATTCCTCTTCCAGTCATATTAACTCAGGAATCTTGGGAGTTGAAGTTCACAAGTCTTAAACTTGCCAAGTTTGAAGACCCTTGTTCTAAATGTTAAGCAACTAGCTAAAAAACTTATTTTCATCAATTTCACAGGTAGCCCTACCTGAATATTTCCTAGAAATTCTTTTTGCTGTTGTTGCCCTGCCGTCTTGGTAATTGTCTGCTGACTCTATATAGCAGCTATTTTTTGTTGACTTAATGATTATACAGATTATTACAGCAACTCTAAATCCTATTGTGTTATCATTTGTTTAATCTTGGCTTCATTTGGAAAGATTTGTCTTTTAAGACACTGCTCAGCAAATCAGTTCCCTCTTGTTTTGAGTCCTGTGAAATGAGGTTGCATTCTAGAATAACAGAGTTGGAAGGGACCTTGGAAGTCTTCTAGTCCAACCTCTTGCTTAGGCAGAGGCCTCTTGCTTAGGCCATTTCAGACAAATGGTTGTCCAATCTCTTCTTAAAAACTTATTGAGGTCATGGACAGAAGCTCAGGAATCTCATGCGTGATGTACTTTGTGCATTAAAAAAGAGAAAATGTGCAAGAAAATATACATACAGCATGGACCTAGTGTGGGAGGAAGTTAAAACCTGTGGGTGGTCTGCTGAGGAAATAGCTGCAGTAAACTGCAGTCAAAGGGTGATGAGACAGATTATTTCTGTGAAATCCTGCTGCAAGGATTTGGAGTGAGTGATCTCATCAAGGTAGCTGGGGGAAAGGAAGCCTGAAAAAAACAGAGACTTTAAGATGTACAACTTAATTGTCCAAGAAGTGTTTTAGTCAATTCAGCTAGATAGTAATAACTGACTGTTTTTTGGCAGGTTGGATAGAATGAGAAGCTGTTTGTAGAGACAGCAACTCCCAAATATGCAATCCATTCTTTTATTTCTATTTTTTATTTTATTTGGTTTGCCAGTTGCTTACAAGTTAATAGGTATAAGTAAAAACATAGTTATGAATACATGGATAAATATGAGAAAAATAAAAAAAGAAAAGAAACAATAGGACAGGGATGGTAGGCACGTTGGTGCGCTTATACACGCCCCCTACAGACCTCTTAGGAAAGGGGTGAGGTCAATAGTAGACAGTCTAAGGTTAAAGTTTTTGGGCTTTGAGGACCACAGAGTCAGATAGAGTATTCCTGACATTGACCACTCTGTTGCTGAAGACATATTTCCTGCAATCAAGTTTGGTGTGGTTTACCTTGAGTTTGTATCTTTTGTGTGCTCTTGTATTGTTATGGTTGAAGCTGAAGTATTCATTGACAGGTAAGTCATTGAAATGTATGATTTTATATACCATACTTAGATCAGACTGAAGAATGCATAATTCAAGGTTTTCTAGGTCTAGAATTTCAAGTCTGGTGGCATAAGGTATTCTGCAACAAGTAGAGGAGTGGAGAACTCTTCTTGTTATAGATCGGAAAAAGGGGAGGCCACGCCAGAGCATTCCAATAACACACTTTATTCAGGGGAATAAAGGGGGCTGTCGCGTCTGCGTCTAACCAGGCAGACTACCAGCGAACAGCGGCTGGCTCGACCTCGCAGCCGGCTTTTATAACCGGCTGTCGAAGGGATCCAGCCAATGGGGGCTGCTAACACCCCCGCGGAAGTAACGGACCTGATGGGGAACTTGTGTCAGTCCCGGGGACACAACACTCCTTCCCCCCAGATACGAACACGAATAGTCTTTTAAGTAAACGGGTGGCCTGTGTGAGCACCCTGACCGGCGCAGTTCTGGTGAGTCACACACTGGCACAGAGTTTGGTGAGCCCGGAACAGGGCTTGCTGGAGCACAGGATCGATCCGGAACTCGGCCTGGAGTCTGGGAATGACCACAGTCTTCGGGTTGGATTGTTGAACTGTCATTGTCACGCAACCCGGTAGTGTCATTGGACGGTAAGGCTGGCGACTCTGGCGGACGGTCCCGGTCTACCGTCCGTTCCCTCGGTTCGGCCGGTGGGGGCTGGTCACTCTGGCGGTCCCAACTCGGATTCGGGATGGGCGACTGGAGTGTCCCTGGAGTCCCCCGGTCGGAGTTGGCAAATTCGCTCTGGCGACTTCTTATCTGGTCCAGATGTCTCCGCCAGACGCGCCCGTCCTCCAGCTGGATGCGGTATGATCTCGGACCGGTGATGGCCACGATCCTTCCGGGTACCCACAATGGGTCGCCTGCGTAGTTCCGGACAAACACTCGGTCCTGTAATACAAAACTCCTGACCCTACTGTTAGACCCAATCGGTGTGTCAGGGCAATAGTGGGGATGCAGTCTATCTAACACCGTCCTTAGACGTCTGCCCATCAGTAGTTCGGCTGGAGACTTATTTGTGACAGTGCATGGGGTCGAGTGTTGGCTTAAAAGAAAACGAGAGAGTCTGGAGTGCCAGTCGTCTTGAGTGAATCTTGCCAACGCTTCTTTTGCTGTCCTAACGGCTCTCTCCGCCAACCCATTGCTGGCAGGGTGAAAGGGAGCCGTCAGGATATGTCGGATGCCCAGGTTGGTGACATACCGACTGAATTCTGTGGACGTAAATTGGGGCCCATTGTCTGAGACTATGGTGTCAGGCAGTCTGTGTGTAACAAATAGGCGGGTCAGAGCCTGGGCAATTGCTCGGGTGGTGGTTGCTAGCAGGAGGGCCACATCGATCCATTTTGAGAATGAATCAACTACCACCAGGAAAGTCTTGCCGTGGAATGGCCCGGCCAAGTCAATGTGCAAACGTGACCACGGTGCGTTGGCACTTTCCCACTTGGTTGGGGTGGTGATTGGCGGTGCTGGCCTGGATTCCTGACAGGGACGGCAGGAGCTTGCCCATTTTGCTATTTCGTCGTCCATGCCCGGCCACCAGACGTAACTCCAAGCCAACGCTTTCATCCGGACGATGCCGGGATGTCCCTCGTGCAACGCCTTCAGGACGGGTGTGCGCAGTGGTTCTGGAATGACAACTCTGGTCCCCCGTAATAGGCAGCCCTGCAAACTAGAAAGTTCTTGCTGGCGGGTTTTAAACGGTGAGAAATCAGTTGAGTGATCATTGCCTGGCCACCCCCTCCGTACCCAGTCCAGAACCTGGGCGATGCATTTGTCTTTTTTGGAGTGGAGGGCGATGTCGCCAGCAGTGACTGGAATGTTGAACTCACTGGCATTGAAAACGGCATGTACCGGGGCCGGGTCCTCCACAGGTGCTGGCAACGGGCAGCGGCTGAGAGCGTCGGCGTGGCTAAGGTGTTTTCCTGGACGATGAACTAGTTTGTATGAGTAAGCCGCCAGGAATAAGGTCCACCTAGTCATCCTAGGTGACAAGACTTGCGGTGTCTGCTTTTCACCTGAGAGAAGCCCCAACAGTGGTTTGTGGTCTGTGACAAGTTCGAAATTGTGACCAAAAAGGAATTCATGGAATTTTTTGACCGCAGCTACGGCGGCTAGGGCCTCTTTGTCAATTTGGCTGTAGTTACGCTCAATTGGTGAAAATGTTCTCGAAAAGAATGCGATTGGAGCTTCAGAGCCGTTGGGCAGTCTGTGACTCAAAACAGCCCCAATCCCGAAAGGTGAGGCGTCTGCTGCTAAGACTAGAGGCAGGTGTTGGTCAAATTGTATGAGGACAGCGTCCGAGGTGAGCAGCGATTTAACTGCCTTAAAGGCGTAATCCTCTTTGGGTCCCCAATACCATGGAGTGTTTTTGTCTAGAAGTCTATGCAGTGGTTCTGCTACTGACGCTTTGTGGGGTAAGAACGATGCATAGAAATTTAGCAAACCCAGGAAAGCCTGTAACTCTGACTTGGATGAAGGAGTGGGTGCCTCGTGGATGGCTTTGACTTTAGATTCCACCGGGTGGATGCCTGAGGCATCTATTTTATACCCAAGAAAGTCCACCTGCTTAGTGGCGATGGCACACTTCTCCCTTTTTAGTTTGAGGCCATGCTGCCTGAACCTATCCAATACCACTCTGACTCTGAGGAGAAGTTGAGGTCTGTCCCTGGCTGACACCAATATGTCATCAAAATACGGAACCATGCCAGGGAGGCCTTGCAGTATCCGTTCCATTAATGACTGAAATATACCTGGGGCGACGCTAACGCCAAATTGGAGACGTTTGCATCGGAATGCCCCTCTGTGGGTGACAATTGTTTGTAATTCGGCCGTTTGGTTGTCTACAGGAAACTGTTGATAAGCCTGTGACATATCCAATTTGGCGAATATGGTTCCTGGTTCAAATGTGTGTAGTAAGTGTTGGATTACCGGAACTGGATATGCGCTAGTCTGCAGATAGCGGTTAATTGTGGTCTTGTAGTCAGAACACATTCTTATACTGCCATCTTTTTTTAGGGGTGTGACAATTGGGGTCTCCCACTTAGCAATATCCGTGGGCTCGATCACCCCTTGTTTGAGTAATTTGTCCAGTTCCGCGTCCAGTTTAGAGCGCAGAGCAAATGGTACTCTGCGTGGCTTTAAACAGACGGGAACTGCTTGGGGGTCCACTGAAAAGGAGATGGGTGTGCCCTTGTAACAACCCAATTCATCGCTGAACACATCAGCATAGTCTGAAAAGAGCGAGTCGATATCGGAAGGTGAGACAGCATGAACTCCCGTTAAGCTAAGGCCGAGATAGGGGAACCAATCCAACCCCAAAAGGCTAGGGAGGGCACCATCTACCACCACTAAAGGCAGATGGCCTTTAAAGGATTTGAATTTAACGAGGA